TCTGTGAAGAACAGGAATTTACCAAAGACTAGATAAAACCCAAAGACGACTCAGTATTGTAATAGTTAAATTCAGATTCTACCCTGAGACTGTCAACAATAATGTTTGAAATTGATAATAAATTAAGCTTGATTGAAGGCCTTCCCTTCTCAATTTTAAACTACTATGTATTATATAAGCTCCAAGAATATGTAGTGAATACATAAATACATTTCCTTGCTGAGTTTGAGGGATGTATTTTATACCAACACTTCATAAGAATGAAAACCTGGTTTTAGATTTCTTTTTCATTTCAGGACAACAAAGTGTCCTTATATACTATTATGAAAATTACCTGTGCTGACATTTTCATCTACTGATGTTTGTCTTTGTTTTCTGTCTTGCAGGATGGTGGTTTGATGCGTGTGGTCCTTCTAACCTCAATGGAATGTATTATCCATTACGACAGAACAACAACAAGTTCAATGGCATCAAGTGGTACTACTGGAAGGGCTCGGGATACTCTCTCAAAGCCACGACTATGATGATTCGACCAGCAGATTTCTAAATGCTTTTGCGTTATGTGAATTATGTATTGTATAGTCTTCAAAGACTTCATTTGCTGAGCATATAAACACACATCTGCAACTTGTCTCATTTTCAAGCCCAGAAAACACGTGCTAGTGTTTTGAAGGGATCAGTTCAGTACAATTCCTGAATTGCAATAGCCTTGATCAGCTAAAGGTCATATTATTCAAGCAGACACAAAGTCTAAAGCATCAACCTGGTATAACAGTGATCTGGCCAAATGACTGAATAGAAAGAACATCCAAGAAACTGTCAGACAACTTAAGGACTCTGTTTTACTGATCATTTATGTTATGTATGTGTTAGTAAATAACTGGAACTGTGAAGAATACCTAAAATAGTTTTAGAAATATGCATTTTGCCTCATCACTGAACTTTAAACATTACTCTAATATAAAACACTTAACTAGATCTAGAACTATTTATCTCTCTGTGTCGTGTTTGCCTTTTATGTACATAAAAAAAAATATTGTCCTGTAATTAGCTCAATACTGTAGCTAAAGAATACATTATTTCCCCCCACAGTCTCCTAAACAACTTCTTACACTTATTCAGGGATTTTTTCCAATAGCCTGTATTACTTTATTTAACAGAGGAAAAATAGCATTTAAATACTTTGCATTTATTCTTGGGAAATGCTGTGTACAAAAATCACCATTTCTTTCAGTTTGTACTTATTACAGTCACTATCTTTGTTACAAAATCCCTGCAAATTACAATTTAGTATGTGTTTCTTTACATTTTTATGAAGATTGCACTTTTTTCCTTTCCTTGTCATTTACCTGTAAAATAACTGATCAGTATTTTATAAACCGAGACAACGGCATTAACACCAAATGTCCGGTTGTCTATGACAATCAGTTATCACCTGGTGCTGTAGTACACCTATACATTTTGTAAAAATAACCTAACTGAAAAACATATGCATGTTCTTTGATACAACTAAATTTATGCTTATGAGTTAAGATACAAATTACTACATTTTAAAAACAGGGAAAAAAATCTGAAAGTTATCTAAGGTCATACTGTTGGGGTTTTTTCAGTAAGGTTAGGACTTCTCCCTAGAAATTCTCCGTAGGTAGGCCCTCAATGTATGACACAATGTGAATAAATTACTCTACTGGGTGATTTTTGCTTTTTTAATATTTTTTATTACTGTATGCTTTAAAATTGTGTACTGTACACTGCAATTCAGATTGAGAATATATTTCTTCACAAATCACACAAAATAATTTTGTGCAGATTTTTTCCCAAATTAACTTCAGGTTTTAATTCTCATGCTTAGTCTTTGCCTTAAAGTAATAATTTTATAAATTTTTAATGTCAGCAGATGACTGAATTAGTTACAAGACAAAAACATATCTCATACCAAAATGAAACAAACACCCCAGACACAACATTCCTGAAGGCTTACTTAACAGAAGGTACTGTATCTTAAAAACAGTAAATGATTTTGAGAAAGATGAAAGAAAACTCTTCGTTTCATACTGACAGTCATTAAAGCTGCTGTAAGAGTACCCCACCACTCACACCACCACCATTCTTCACTGAAAATGTGTCAGCATTACTAAAGGGTAGCAAAGACAAAAATACTTCTAATATTACTTCATGATCTGATTTTGAATAAACCTAATGAATGTAAATTAACAGTCATCATCTGAAGAGTCGCATAAAATAATCCAAATGTATTTAAGATTACTGTTTAAGTATTTTATTGTTTCTCCTAGCAAACTTGTAAGGATAAACATATGCCAAACTAAGAAAACACTTCACAAAATTGCTTCCATAAATTTCTAAGAGATGTCTTAAAGAACAAGTCTAGCAGAGGGCCACCAAGGTAGTAAAGGAGCTAGACATACCAAGAAGCACACGACATACCAAGAGAGGCCGAGAGAGCTGGCTTTTTTCAGCCTGGAGAAGAGAAGGGGAAGGGGAGACCTTACTGCTGTCTACAACTGCCCGATCGAGGACACAGAGAAGCCAGAGCCAGACCCGTCTTGGAGGTGCACCACAATGGGACAAGAGACAGTGACAAGAGGCAGCAAACACAAGTTGGAATTGGGGAAGTTGGATTATTTTAATTTATTCATTTATTACCATGAGGGTGGACTGGACATGTCCCTTGGAGCAGAGTGTTGAACTAGACAGCCTTCAGAGGTCCCTTCTAATCTAAAATATTTTATGATTCTATGAAATTTAATAGAAATGCTGAGTCTAGATTATGGTATTTCCTGCTTCACTGCATTTAATCAGACAACTAAAGAAAATGCTCCCAATATTTGAGATAGTAAGCATATCCAGCCCAATAATCTACAAAGAAAAAGAAAGGGTTCTTAAAAATGGTGATGGAATCTGGCACAGTATGAATGCTCAACCTGGCAAAGGAAAATAGTGCTCACTTCTGGTTGACATTAACCTTCATTGTTTTAGTAAGAAAACACTATATGACAAGAATAATTAAATATTGCATGGCTAGTTTCAATTTGCTGGAAAAAAGTCTTTATAAAGCTTAAGGCTTTTTGATGACTATTCTGGGAAAGTGATTGAAGATATTGATGTAGACATTGAAAAGATCAATTTTTTAATGAGACTTTTTCATTTTTTGGGAAAATGGAGTAATTTATCAACACGAATGTAAAATTTTACAGCAAATACGCTTTTAAATGACATTTGATCTAAATGAGATTGCATGGCTTAAACTGCAAACACCCAAGTGAAGTGAGGGGAGGACATTTTGGAAGGAATGCAATAAAAGGAAAAAGAAGGCTGCAACAACTGCTTTGGACTTGGTACAAACAATTAAAGCATAACAGCAAGATAACCCCATCTTTCAATTCCTTTCTAGTCAAATAAACAGTATATAAAACTAGAATGCACTTCCATTTTCTCTAAATACTTCTTAGGAAGCAGAAAAGAAATGAAAAGAAAGGGAATATAAACACCATTTGTGCTCAAATAATAATCATATCTTTAAAAATAACACATCTGTTACAGTAAGAAACCAGAATGACTCAAGAAGGGAATGATTGGAAAGTTGATGGAAATATCACCTTTGGACACTGACTTTGTTCCTCTGCAAGAGGAGCACACTGCAAATGGAAGCTATTCAGGTTCTCAGCACAACCATAACCTCCCTCAATTTTATCTTCTCGCCATCTCTCAAGCCCTCCTTACTTCTGCTTTAGGAATAAAAACTGTAAACAGAATCTAAAAAAGAACCCCAGCAGGA